TTAAAAATAAGGTTTTAATAATTTTAGTAGTAGTAGTAGCAGCCGTCCCGCTTAATATAATGGCAGGGGAAACACTGATATATATATTGGGTTATATATGTTTTCTTTTTTTTTCTACCTGGCTAATCGTCAAAGTTCTAATAAAATTTCCTTAAAAATATCCACTCCATCAGACAAGGTCCTGAGGAAATTTGAAAACAAAATTAACCTGGGTAAGCTTTTTATTGCTTAATCTAAAATTAAATTGAGAAAATGTGTGAAAAGCTGTATAGACTACAGATTTAGACTATTTATCCACAGAAAAAAAAGTGTAGCTTTTTCTGATTCAAGTATCTTTGTTTCACAGATAAACTGAGCTATGCTGATTCTGTGATCAATAAAGTCACTGTGATGCGGAAGCAGACACGTATGTAATCTTGTTTTAGTATTATTTCTATACTATTATAGTATTGTTAGCAGTTTGAATGAGGTTTTATTTGTATATATTTATTTTCATTTTAGTTTTAGCTTTAGTCATTTTATTTGTGTTTTTGTGTATATTTGTATTTAGCTTTAATTTATTTTTAGTTTTAGTAATTACAAGAAAATGTCAAATGTGTGCCCTGGCAACTAACTAAAATAAAAATGTTTTGATTCTAATGTTTGTATTTTATCTCAGCTTTAATTTAACAAAAAGTATTGTTAATAGTTTTAGTTTTTAGTTACCAATAACAATGCAACAGGCATGATTTTCATTCATTCATTAAGTCTTTAATCTTAAAAAGCTCATACATTTTTGCAGGTTTCGAGTAAAGGACCAATCAGACGAGCTACTGTTGAACAGGTGTGTTTGTTTAAGCTTTATTTGTGATGATTTCACTTGAGCTGCAGCATTATTCAGTGTGATATTTGAATGTTACTCTACAGGTTTTGGACCCCCGTACACGTATGATTCTGATTAAAATGCTCAGCAGAGGCATCTTTTCAGAGATCAACGGCTGTATCAGCACAGGCAAAGAGGCAAGTTTGTTTTGATGTCATTTTAGTGTTATTGGTATGTTCATTAGTTTTAGTTCATTTATTCTTTTAGTTATTTTAGTACTTGAGGTTAAAAATGAAAAATGTTGGGAGGGTTTTTCCAGTCAATTTTATTTTGTTTTTCAAGTAGTGAAAAATGTTTTAGTTAACTATTATAACCCTGGTTTGTTTGGATGAAATCAGTCAAATTATCTCTTACTATATTTTTAGTACACTTGGGATCTTTTACTAAGAACTAATGTTAATGTGGCTTTTTTCATTTTTTTGAAAAATTTTATAGACTTTTGTCTATAATGCGCATCCATTTATCTCAAGACTACAGACCGCACAGATTCCAAGTCCAGAGCCCATCATGCTGCGGAATCAGGTTCTCGTCATGAGCTTTATTGGTAGAGATGACATGTAAGTGGGCATTTACCTTCACCATTTACAGATGCACAAATACTTATCAGCAACTGATCCAAACATGGCAATGTTTCAGTTTTTAACAAATTCCTAAATGACACTCCAGGCTTTTTAAGTGATCTTGTTGGTGTATTCCTCAGGCCTGCCCCTCTGCTGAAAAACGCTGTCCTTTCTGAATCCAAAGTGTGGGAACTCTACCTGCAGATCATCCAGAACATGAGAATAATGTACAATGAAGCTCGTCTGGTCCACGCTGACCTTAGCGAGTTCAATATGCTGTAAGCTGACTTTATATTATGCGCACAAGTTTTTTAAGCATCAGTTAATGTTTACTGATGTTTAATTGTACCGTGATCAGTGGAAAGTGTAAAAAAACATTAAGCACTGCTGTGTTCTGGTGTGCAGGTATCATAATGGAGAAGCTTATATATTATTGAAGTCTCTCAGTCCGTTGAGCACGATCATCCTCATGATTTAGAGTTTCTTCGCAAGGATTGCAGCAATGTCAATGGTAATTATACAGCCTTTAATAGTAATAGATATTATTAATGTTAATGTCAACATTTTTTTTATTCCTTTTGTTCTCTGACTTTTTCCAGAAACATAATGTGGCAGTTATGACTGTGCGTGAGCTGTTTGAGTTTATCACTGACCCCTCAATCACAAGTGACAACAGTAATCAGTATTTGGACAAGGTCAGTGAGTTGCATTGAAGCATTATCGTTAATCCTAATGACAGGCTGTTTCTTTTTCTTGTGACTTTTTGTGCATTCAGACAAGCTTGATGTGGTTGGGTACTAGAGCTAGGTAAAATACCGATTTCTCAATTTTAATCGATTCTCATTTTTACGAAACTATCAATTCTTAAATCCAAGAACCGATTATTCTTCTTGCCTGTTTTCAGTTTATGACCGGAACAGTGTAGCGCATTTCCCATTTAATAAATTGCAATAAGCTTTGTGCTTTGTTACTTTTGATATGAAA